CTAAGCGGGCGTAGCCTCGCATTCCCTCCTCCATATCTTCGTTAGTCCTCTTCGAAGATCAATCTGTAGCCATCTGGCGCTTTCCTTTCAGTACATCCTTCTCATAGCGGGCAACGATTTGAGGAGCGGTCTGCATCAGTTCCTCCCGAGTAAACCAGCGGTCCTCCTTCGGATCTGTATGATGTCTGAAGTGGACTCGGAACTGCAGCTTTGGCTTTGGAGGACGTCCCCTTCCTGGAGGCTTTCGAACAGGCATCTCCCTGTGGTCAACGATATCATCGATGTCGACTTCTCCGTCCATGGTTGGGGGCAGCATGGATCGACGAGAGGGAAACTGATCAGTTTCCTCGGATGCAGCGAGCTTAGAGGGGTGAAAGACTGGGTAAGTCCTGAGATGACCAGGGGTACGGATGACATATGATGGACCATCAGGATCTGTCCCTACTATGTCTAACACTTCCCAAGGTCCAAAGTACTGAGGCATGAGTTTGCGGGATATCCCGAACTCCTGACCCAGTTCTGAAGATTTGACCCAAACTATGTCCCCTACCTGAAATGTAGAAGGGCGRCGGTGTCTATTCTCAGACTCTATCATTGCTGCCTGTGCCTTCTGCATGTGTTCTACAGCCTCCTGCATCTTCTATTCATATCTATAGGCGAACTCCAGAGTGCCTGGTGTAGCAGTTGGCTGGTTGTCTGGAAGTAGGAAATCTAAGGGCAGTCTAGGCTTGAATGTCAGTTGTAGACTRTTAGGACTCGTCCCKGTAGCACTGTGCACAACGTTGTTATATAGGCTAGCGACTAGAGCAAGCTTTTCGTCCCAGTCTACCTGATTGGGCTTGATGTAGTGCCTCAACAGGTGTTGCACARCGCGGTTCATTTGTTCAGCCTGGCCAYTAGCTTCTGGATGATTTCCAGAAGTCATCTGCAGTTGAGTTCCTTGTTCARCTGCAGCGGCCTTCCATAATYCACTCGTGAACCTGACGTCCCTGTCACTGACTATAGACTTCGGCAGTCCAAAGTCTCTAACCCAGTTTTCTTTAAATAGCCTGATCACGTATTCGGTCTTTGCTGTTTCTGGCATAGCTATTAATCTAGCAAACTTACTAAACCTATCCACGATGACAAAGATCTGTCTCATCCCACTCTTGCTAGTGACCAGCGTATCCATGAAGTCCATGGATAAACTTTCACCYGGCCTTTCCGGAATCGGAAGGGGCTTGGGCAGCCCAAGAGGAGCCTGAGTACGGGGCTTGTCTCTCTAGCATACTTGACAAGTTTCCACATACAACTGTGCATCTTTCATCATCGTGGGCCACTAGAACCGCTGCAGCAAGTTGGCTGCGGTCTTCTTGTACCCAAAATGGCCGGTGGCATCATGACACTCACCTAAAAACAAACTACGCAAAGCCTCGCTATTTGGAACGCACAAGTGTTTATTCCCTGCCTTCTCTAGGAACAGCAATCCATTGACCAACTCAAACTCGGCGGAGGTCTTTTTATCCTTCACCTCAAGTCTGCGTATGATCTCAGACATAAACTGGTCCTGACGATAGGCTTCCACCAAAGACTGAGTAACGTTGTCCGTCAGATCGAACTCAATAATCAGCGCACCTGAGAAGTCCGGTCTGCGCGACAAGGCATCAGCAACCTTGTTGTACTCCCCTTTGAGATACTGAGGGTCAAAGTCATATTGCTCAATGACTTCGATCCAACGCTTAAGAGCGTCAGAGAGTACCGGCTGTGTTCTCATCCATCTCAGGGTCTGATGATCAGTCCGGAGGATGAAGAACCGCCCAAGGAGGTAGTGTCTCCAATGGGTGAGAGCCTTGTACACCGCATAGAGTTCCTTCTCATAAGTGGACTTAGCCAACTTCTGAGACGGCATTTTCTTGGACATGTACTCTACTGGCCTCAACTTTGGCCCATTCTGTTGCGCAAGCACGGCGCCAATGCCATATTGGTTGGCATCCGTTGTGACCATAAACGGCTTGTCAGGATCAGGAAGTTTCAAGACTTCATAGTGCGTCAATGCATGCTTCAGATGTCTGAAAGCAGCCCCGCACTTATCTGTCCACTCCCAAGGGGTGTCAAGGCGGGTCAGATCAGTCAAAGGAGCGGCCATTATGCTGTAGTTCTTAACGAAAGTCCTATAGTAGCCTGTCATTCCTAAGAAAGATCTCATCTTAGTCACAAACTGAGGACGTGGCCAATCACGAATGCTGGCTACCTTCGCATCATCGGGCTTCAACCCTTCCGCGGAGATTTCATGACCCAAGTACAAGATACGGGTGCGGCCAAACTCGCACTTTTCACCGTTGATCTTGAACTGGTGCTGTCGCAGGAGACTGAGAACTTTGTCTAAGTGTGCTACGTGTTCCTCAACAGTCTTACTAAAAATAAGTATGTCATCGAGGTACACGACGACAAACTAAACCCAGTAGTCATGGAATATCCGATTCATAGCGTGCTGAAAGGTACCAGGAGCATTGCAAAGACCAAAAGGCATCACCACAAACTCATATAGACCGTACCTGGTCTGAAATGCGGTTTTGTGTTGATCCTCGGGCCGGATTGCAATCTGATGGTACCCGGACTTCAGATCTATTTTACTGAAGTACCGACACCCTTGCACTTTATCTAACAGATCATCGATGCGCGGTAGGGGCTCTCTGTTCTTCACCGTGATGGCATTGAGGCCCCTATAGTCAATGCACATCCTTAGAGTTCCCTCCTTCTTCTTAGGCACGAATAAAACTGGAGACCGATAAGGAGAGACACTCGGTCGGATCCAACCCTTCTCTACAAGTTCCTTGAGTTGGCGGCGAAGCTCATCAAGCTCGCCTGGAGACATCCGATAGATCCTACCCCTTGGAATACTAGACCCAGGGATAATCTCTATCGCGTGGAGGACCTCCCTCTCAACAACCCCTGTCGGCTCTTCAAATAGATCAGGGTACTTAGCAACTACTCCCTCTATCTCTGGCGGCATTTTCACCAGCTCGCCTGCAGCAGAGACATAGACTAAGTACATACCCTCCTCCTGATTTTGCTTATAATAATTATAGAATGCGGCCGCACACATSCACCCATAGGACTCAATCAGACTACTAGCTTTGAACTTTTGTAATCTGGCGGTCCCTCCACCTGGCAACGTGTGTTTGACCACCTTTTGGTCCCAGTCAAACTGGGGCTGTGTTACAGAGAGGTAGTACATACCTAGTAACATGTCCATTGGGAGCTCGTCACTGACCAGGAACGAGACACGATGTCTCAAGTTCCCTCCCGCGTACGGAAAAACACACTCTACATCATGGAGGTAGTCATTAACTACCATACGCTGTTTGTTGGCACAGGTCGACCCCACAGGTCGACTCAGGTGCTGCACTTGCCCCTGTAAGCGCAGCCTCTCAACGCACGCGCGGCTCATAAAGTTTCTAGTCGAGCAAGTGTCGTAATAGGCCCCGGCCTTGCGGCCTCCTATGACTACCTCGCTGACAAACATTTCACTCTTAGGGGCTTTAACTAACGTCGTCCAAGAAGCTAGTGGATCTGATCTAGACCACTCATGCTCTAGCTCCTCTAAGGATTCAAACACATTTATCGAACAGAGGGTCGATGGGTCTGAATGTGTTTGCGGGACGACTGAAGAGTCTGTAGCTTGGGCCATCTCTCGCGAAGGTGAGGGTGAATCCACCATCGCGACCCTAGTAGGAACAGCTACTATCCCTACTGGTCGGATGTGTTTCCCAGAGCACTGCCTGAAGAACTAGCAACGTTGCGACCAACGGTTTGAGAGGATCCTACTGCCGACTCCATAATGGGCGGGATCTTCTCGGTGACCTTCCTATTGCGCCACTTATACATGCTATGACCATATTGGCCACACTTGATACAAGCTTGCCGTGCCCACCGATCTCTCCACACGTCCTCAGCTAGACCCGCTTTCTCCCATGGAGGAGCATTGGGGTCTGTTTGACTCTTCGACCGGGATCCCCTAGGGCGTCTACCGGTCCCTTTACCTTTTTGTTGTACGGCGGCGATTACTCCACCCTCTGAAGTTTCGCCACCCGCCACCCGCCTCTGCACCTACTCCCTCCTGGAAGTTGCCGTCCAACTCGATGGTTGATCCATCGTTGTCGACAAACATGATGCGACCCTTCACCTTCCAGTTGGGAGGCAGTGTCTTCTTTCTCCCTTCCGTAGTGGGTGCCTGTCCATGCCCTATCTTTGCTTCTAGGTCTAGTGCCACCTTGCTGAACGAAGGAAAGTTGTGCATATTAATGTTGGCCTCTTTTGCCAACTGGTTCCTGAGCGGCAGAGATAAGGTCCTCAGGTACGAAGTTAGCAGGACCTGGGGGTCATAGCGTACCCCTGGAACACAAATCAAACGCTCTACAGCGTCGGTGGCATCCCTTACTGACTTAAACTGTCGCGTGTGCAGTGTCAGGATCGCATCAGTGGCCTTTTGAGCCTCCTGCAGATCATGCCACCCGTCTTCCACCATTTTCAGGAAGTCCTCCAATTTTTGAGAGGCTGCCCAAGAGCGGAAGTCATGACCGTACCCCTGGAGTTGCACTAACCCACTCAACCATCTCGCTGCACTACCCTCCAGGTAGGAAGCAGCCACAAACACTTCTTCGTGTGGCAAGGTGAGTTTACACCTGACGTAGACCGGCACTGCCCTCAACCAAGTGTCGAGGTCTTCGCGTCTCTTGTCCCCTGTAAAAGGTTTGGGAGCGGCGATGACCGTCTTTGGAACCCACTGACTTTGTCCCGGTTGCTGCACCAACCCGGGCTATGGACCCGGCGATACAGGTTGTTGTGCTAGCTGYTGGGGCTGTGTGCCCTGAGGTTGTACTTGCTGTGAGACAGCAGGCTGCGTGGTGACTGCAACCTGTGACAGACTTGGAGTAAACACTGTCTGAACAGGAACCTGCAAACTACTCCCTGCTGTTACTCGTCCAGACAGAGGCATGCCCAGGGAAACGATAGCAACCAATGAAGGGGTTACATATGGGGATACCCCAGTCACCGGTGGAACACAAAGAGGAGAATATGGCACGGGCCAGGCACCAGGCCCTGCTGGTGATGGTGCTGCCTGAGCACGGCCTACCAACACGGCTAGGCTTTGTTGAATGTCCTGAAGGAGGGTAGTTTGATGCTCCTGCATCTCAATTACGCCTAGCAGGGCCCTCCTAACTACCTTYACATCMTCATCCAYATGCGTCAGGTCCATCGTCTCTAACTCCTCTATGTCTGCCCCTCTCTGTTGCATCCTGGCTCTTCTTCTAATCATCATCTCTTTCTCCCTTTTTATCTTTCCTAATGCCTGTTGTAGCTGTGCCTCTTGCTGGGCTGCCTGCTGGATGGCGACATCCTTTGGGGACAACACCGCGGGCTGGCTTGCCATTAAGCCAGTGGACTGACTCACGGTCTGCACGACCGTGGACCCGGCGGTGCCTGAACTTTCGGCTTGGGAAGTCTGTTGCGCAGACGTGCTCATGGCCGTGGTAGCCATGGCTGCTATACCACTGGCGTCGTTAGCAAATGCCCTGCTGGCCTCGGCTGCTCTAGCTCTCCTTTCCCTTTGTAGGCGGAACAGTTCCCTATCACCCTCCGGTCCTAAAGACACATGGGATACCGGTCCTTTAGCCGATCGTAAGGTCCTGCGGTCGTCCTCTCCGGTGTCCTCCACGTCGCTCATAGGCTACAGCACTGTGCACTGTCCACACTAGATCATTCTAGATGCCTACCGCAGCTTAGTACATAGACCAACTAATTAGTGGTGGCTTTCAGAACAGATCTCATTTGGGGTCAACAGGTAAGTGAGGTTCCTATTGTCAATACTATTTTTAGCAAGATTAGTTCCCAAACAGAGAAAACATCAGGAATAAATAATATTCTAAACTAATGTTGTCTGTCAGATGTCACATGGCTGTCCATCTAACTAATCAATAATAAAAATAATGTTGACAAACCGGGTCTGTTCACAGTTTGGAATTTAAACCCGAACTTATCATCTGAAATCTACCCCTCTTTTTGTTCTTCCCAGTGTCACGGTGTCACGTTTCTTTGCATCAGAAGCCAAGCGTGTCTCAAAGGTGTGCAATCCGGTCCCACCCCTGTGCCCCGGGTTATCGTCGAGCAAGGCAGCCACAACACTCTTATTTACCCTCGTACGCCGACGAGCCTTCCACTCGGATGATCTGGCTGATCAAGAGGCAATTTAACGTCCGCCCCCAAGTGACATCAGGAATTATTTTACGTCGCAGCAGGACGACGATCACAGCCAGATCAGA